TTTTTTTTGAGCTTTTACCGGATAACACAACGATTAATTCGGAAGTCTACTGTCATCAGCTGGACAAACTGAATGATGCACTTCAACAGAAAAGGTCAGAACTAATCAACAGGAAAGGTGTAGTGTTTCACCAAGACAACGTGAGACCTCACACAAGTTTGGTCACTCGCCGAAAGCTTTTACAGCTTGAATGGGATACAATGCTACACCCACCATATATATATAGATTATTTAAATTATTACTATGTTAGAGAATATGGTATTATGTCAAACAAAACTAAATTATATTAAAAAGTCAATGCAAACAGTGATCTAGCAAGTCTGGCACATACCTGGTATATTTTAGTTTAAGACGTGACTCTAAATTTTTAGTAATTTGGCCTTCTTAGCCTTGTTCTTTATAAGTTTAGAGACGAGAAAACATGCTCGCTCGGATATGTTCACATGTTCAGATCTTCTGTATACCAGATGCAATTTTTTTCATTTGGACTACGTGTCTGTCTGTTTCGCTTTATCTTTTAATTTTTTCAAGCGAACATGAAGAGCTGCAATTGTTTCTTGAAAGAGCTACGGTTTGCCGACCCTTGTACTAAAGTGATATACATAAGCCCAATAAATTTAATTTAAAGCTATTGATAATTTGTTACGCTTTTTCCAAATGATTCTCGGAATTCCGTTATAGTCCAGTTAAGATAATATTTTTCAAAAAAAAAAAGTTGCGAAAAAGGTCGAAGAAGGGTTGTCTCCTGAATATGCAACCAAAAAATTACACTCAAAATTCTTAGGGGTGATACTGAAATAGGGGTAGTTTCCTATTTATTTTTGTTTTTGGAAATCTTGTTTTCCGGCATTAAATATTCTCTACAACCTTACCTTATAATTTTTTTATAACTTATATATTTTACCCTCCAGTGCCTATTATAGTTATAAAAAAATGTGTAATTCTATGTTCGGTGAACGTTTTGCCTTAGGTACCTGTATAAAAATGAATTTACACTCATTATTTCGCTCACTTCTAATGCTCACATTGATAAATAAATAAGAATTCAGACGATTAGGTTCATTTATTGAAAAACACTTTTATTATTGTAAATATCACAGTTTCAAATAAATAGGTATGTCACAAGGTGAAGGCATTAACAACAGTAACCTATATTAAAACTTAACAACAAACTCAGCTGTCGTCAAAGTTAAATATTAAACACGGAATCACAGCGTTTAGAGTAGATAGGTACTAATGTCCTTTTTTTGTATAATACAATACGGTAAGAATTGTACATTAATTAATTCACTAATTACTGGCAATATCGTTTCAATACACAGAAGCTTAATTTAGAATAGGCACTTCGTCACTGTCAGTTTTTATAATGGAGAATTTCAATTACAACAGCCTTTCTTATGTTAACCCTACTTACTAAATTCAACTAAATCATAGCGTACCTACTAATAATAGGATCATCAGTTTGTTAGTTAATTGAACTACCCTTATTTTTTTTACATATATATCACAGATTTTAAAACAAATCAGGAAAACAAATACCTGATTATCAGGTGTATAACTTATTACTGGAATATTCTTTATAATTTTCTAACAGAAGGTATTTCATTCTTAAAAAACACCAAAATTCTGTAAATGTAATAATTAAATTTGCTATTACTATCACAGCTGTGGATTCAAATTTACTGATATCCGTTCATACTATGGTGTGGAGTACAGCAGTGTGCTGAAATTGAATTCAAATGGACATTCCTTTATATCCTTTTGAGTTTTTTGAATTTTTTTCTAAAATTTCAAATATTTGAAAACAACCACCATATCCAAAGCTTATTTATTTGCATCACTAGAATTACCATCCTTGTCCATCTTTTTGGCAACTTGTCTTTGAACAGGACTCTGTTCTAGTCGTATCGAAGAAGCCCTTTTTGTGACGTAAAATCGTCCCGTTTTACCTGAACCATCGCCTTGTAGTAAAATATGGCGATTTGATGCTGAATATGGTGCAGGATGTACAGGATCATCGACAGGTTCGGGTTTTAAGGAAAATCGCCTCTGCTCGGCCCAAGAAGAGAGCATTGGATCTTGCCTTAACGACATTTTTCTGTGGTAACTTAATTCTGGTCGTAAGGACATCCTTCGCGGTTGTGTTGGATGATATTGAGTTATTGGGATCATTGAAGATCTTCTCTTATAATTTTGAATAGCTTGTGAACCAATGGATGTCCGTCGTGAGTGAACAGCTGGTTCGAAGGATAAATGACGAGCCCTTGGAGGTGTTACCAACTGTGGAGGAGTTAATGATGCGGTTCCGAGCTTTCGTTTTGGCGCCGGGCTCTCGTCATCTAAAGAAATACTTGCTAACGCTCTTATGAAATCTGCTATTGATGTTTCCTCCAGAAGTTGTTCTCTGTTTGGCACATTACTTGGTTTTTGATTCTTTTGTGTCTTTAAACCATCAAAGAAACTGATTCTTCCTCGAGCTGTTTGCTCCAGGTAGGCATTCCTATCCATCATGTCCTGCTTCTCAATATCGATGTCCTTTGATTTTCCTTCATCGCGAGGATATTTGAAAATATTCTTCATCTTCGAGAGGAAGCCTTGTTCGTTTGACTGGATGGTTTTCATTTGCTGTTGCAGTGTTTTGAATTTGAGAGGTGGCGGTGCAACTCCTCCATGCCAGGTCATTTCATTATCTTCCCTATTCAGACGTCTCTGGAATGGGAAACGTACTTCACTTATAGCCCTCTTTCTTGGTTTTGGTGCAAGGGGGGCCAGTTTGTCTTCTCCCAAACTCCAACTGGACGAAAACTTTTCACTTGCCAATATCTCGTTATCCGAAAATAGGTCGACTCCATACTGTGTTGTAGCAGGAGCGGATTCCGTCGATTCACACGTGCCAAGAGCATTTACTACTTTCAGTATCAATTTACTTGGTTCTATTAGTGCATTTGTTTTATTAAACGTTTTATCTTTGTCTATCAAATCCAGATCCGTATCAGACCTAATTCTTGCGATTTCGCCAACTTGTGGCTGGATGCATTCGGAAAATGCCCTCTTTCTTAACATCTGTGGTGTTTTGCGATATATGTTTAAGTCAGGGCAACTTTGACTTCTATTGATTCCAGTGTAAACATATGAAAACTTTTCTCGATAAACCCTTTTAACTTTCATGAGCAAGAATTCGTTAAGAATTGTTCGAAGTTCTTCACGAATCAGTTGAGGAGTCTTCTTGAGGTTCACTGCGATTTTATGTTCGATCTCGTGTATTTTTTTGTGACGCAATGCTCTCGTTATGAATCCAAGAATCATCACTACGTATCCAAGACCGAGTATGACCCAAACGAAGAGGAATAGTTGGTAACACGTGTAGAATAGGGTTCCATGGTGCTTTTCAGCGGTTCCTGTAATAAATAACATAAATATTTTTTAAATAATTTACACCATGTATGTAAAATAATGATAAATAAGTACAAGACAACTAATACACTGGAATTAAATTAAATAAAGACAATCTCTTACCTGCTACAAAGTCTCCAAAACCTATGGTAGTTAAAGTTACGAATGAAAAATATATGGCTTCATCGTATGTCCATTCTTCATACCACATAAATATGATTGACGGTAATATCATGAAAAACATAACACCTGGTATCAAATACAGACATATTTGGCCAACCAATCCGAAGGTTGCTAGTTCGTATTTGACTCGTGTTGCTTTCCATCGATGGTAAAGCTTTACAAACTGAAAATGAAAAAGTATTCCTATACCAATAATATAACAAAGTGAAATTTCATCAAAATACGTATATCCTTATTTTTTAAGATTTATAGTGAAAAAATGGTTTGTAAGGTCAAAGTAGATTTAAACAATACTCACCGACCGTGCAAAAAATTCACCCAATGTAACCATAACTATACCATTCATAGGTATACCAATTAAACTGTATGCTATCATGAACAGTCTTGTAAACGTTGTTGATGGAGCCAGGTTACCATAGCCTAAAAATAAAAGAGCAATTTGGTTTTCTGTTCATTTCCATGTGAATACTTTCGCTCAAGGAATTTACGACAAGTGATAGGTATTAAGATTTAATATTTATAGAAACAAGAATTGGGATTCAACATCAGGCAGATACATTAGTTTTATGGCCTTTTCACACGGACTACTTTTTTGAAGCGCTACAGTGGTACGATCTTTTGAAATCCACTGTTTTAAATTGTTTTCTTTAAATTTGAAATAGATACGTTATTATATCGACTACAATATCGAAGCGCTGTAAAAAATCGCTCTTTATACAAACGAACTGGCAACTGTTGCCCTACTGTAGTGCAACAGAAGCGCTACAAAATGTAGCTCGTGTGAAAGGCTCTTAGTTACTCTACACAGACTAAATGTACGTGATTTTTACTAAAGGAATAATGAATGAATAATTCTAACGTAAATAAAAATGGTTACAACGATTATTTTCCGATCAATAGAAATGAATACCTGAAATGAAAATAAATAAGCTCCTGAAACCTAGACTTAAGATAAGTTGTAACTTTGGACAGTAGTAAGAGGAAATAGAAAAACTAAAGAAACACCTGAAATGTTATTCTTTCTGACGATGGAGAGTATTAGAAAAGATTGGTACTAGAAAAGTACTTCTACAAGAAATTAAACGGAATTTTCTGATGCTATTAACGCCTTTCGATATTATACTGTATGTTACTCTCAGTTAGAGACTGACAATCAGCCTGTTTCATTAGCGATTTAATTAATAGAACACTATTAGATTGTAGTTAAATCTGACAAAGCTTATGGAAGACAATGGACTTTAGATGAGATAGTGCAGACGGGGTAAAGGAAGATAAAGAGACAGGCTTCTTACGTAAAGACATATACACAAAATCAAATAGAGTTTGAAGTTGTAAGTCTATTAAATTTTTAGAGCGAGGGTATTAGTAAATTTTGAGACAATTTTGGTGAAGGCGCCGGGGAACATTTACGTACCTAATAAAATTTTCATTATTCTTCTAGACAACTCAGGTCATACATGGTGTCTAAGGTCACCTGTGGTGCTTAATACACTATAAACCACTTACCTATAGTACTAACCACAGTGACAACAAAAAAGAGCGAATGGTAGTAATCCCATCTTTGCGGTATATCAATGGCCGACATGTTCTGAGATAACGGTTTCCCACAGTAACTCGTGAGTCTTTCAAATATATCGTCTTTGCTCTCATTCACTTTTGCCAAATAATGCTTTTTAAGCAAAACTGAAAAAAAAATTAAAATTAAAGTAAATTAAAGGATAAAGAGGATGAAATGTTTAAACATAAAGTGCATGCTATCGATTAGCAATTTTATATTATGCAAAATATAATTATCATTGAGTAAAAGCAAATAAAAATAAATACGTCGGATAGAAAAGGCTAGAAATGACAAGGTATTAAATGGCGTTACGGAAATCAATCAGAAAAAGGAGGGATATGATGGTGGGATATCTTTTTCAGACATGGAGGGTTGATTATATAGACATACAAAATACAAACAGAAACATGAGTAAACATAGACCGACCATAGATTACTGTTCGGAAATAGTTAAGGGTGTAGAATGTTCTGGTTTTCGGAAAATACTAAGATTCGCTCAGGATAAAAGAGAGTTGAGGTACGTGCGCAAGCAGACTTTGTATTATGACATTACAAAGTTGCTGAAAAGCAAATTCAACATCAGGTGAGAACTGTTGATATTTCGTAAAGTGTGTAACAGAACTGTGGTAGGTATATCTCTTAAGACGTGTAGATTAATATTAGTCTCAATATTACTCTCAATTAGGTATATAATATACGTAAAAATGCATATAAATTTGAACATATATATTTAATATGTATAATTGCACCTTACAATTCTTTATGGAAGAATGAAACTTTAAGACATCATATCAGAAAACTGGAGTTTTACCATTTATTACCTAATGAGGCTTTTGATCTATATCTTCACACTAAGCACTACCAGAATCTAAAGGTAAAGACTTTAACAGAGGGCTATTTTCCGTAAGGATCTAGCGGTGCCCTTTGCAATGAAGCAGTAAGTTACAGTAGGATATTCAAAAAATACAACGTGTAATTATACAACACGCTACTGAAGTGAAACTTCTTCAAACACACAAACAAAGCGGGATAGGGGTTGAGGAATTGGTTTAATGGTATTATTTGTACACTATGTGCAATGTTGATAGTAAACATACCATAGAATGTCTTTATATACAACAATCACTGCTTTTTTGTCATTAGACAATACATACCGGCCGATACCGCCGCATTTTGAGTTTGTAATATCTTCGAAAATATTCATTTAAATTACATGCTGTAAAGGGCCATATATATGCACAATGTATTTAAAAGTACTTAATTGGATAAGGATTAATGCTGTATTGCTTAAAATCGCTTCGTAAATAAGCCATTATTTCTCGTAAAAAGTAAAAGATAAAAAATGGTTATTGTGGTTTATCCCTAAGAGACAGACATATACCATCCTGGACTTTTTGTAGACCTTTGTACNCCCTGCATTTTAAGTCTGTAATATCTTCGAAAATATTCATTTAAATTACATGCTGTAAAGGGCCATATTAATCTATATTAAATGCACAATGTATTTAAAAGTACTTAATTGGATAAGGATTAACGCTGTATTGCTTAAAATCGCTTCGTAAATAAGTCATTATTTCTCGTAAAAAGTAAAAGATAAAAAATGGTTATTGTGGGTTATCCCTAAGAGATAAACATATACGATAGACCTTTTTAAGGTGTACAATACTGTAGTATATTATTTAGATCTATCTCGTAAGGTTCAACCAGCGTTTGCAATGTAAGCGCAAAAAAAGGGTTTATTTACGACATCACATTACAAACCTCTAAAATTATCAGTGTTTCTCTACTATTTTATGCATGTATTATACATATAAACCTTCCTCTTGAATGACACTATCTATTTAAAAAAAACCGCATTAAAATCCATTCCGTAGTTTTAAATATCTAAGCATACATAGGGACAGACAGCGGGGCAAATGCTTTGCATGATTTCGTTACATAGCAACTCGCATGAAACGAACTTCAAAAATAGAGATGTTAAAAGTCCAAACCTTGTATGTGTTATCATCACTTAAATGCCTCAAGAAAAGAACCACTTGCGATGGGTGCGGAACTTACTATAATTATCATATCTTTTAGTAGAGGTTTGCTCATTTGAAAATTATTTTTATGCTGATGGTGTACAATTTTTATTATGATTTATATGTGTTTTTTCTTTGCAGCTACTATGCATCCACGAGGTATTTACGAGTTGTAAGTACCTACTAGAAATCGAGGATGTTGTTGTGCATTTGCTTTTAAAAAATATATGTTCACTGAAGTAAGCACTTAAAAATAAGTAGTCACTACTGGCGTATACTAAGAAATATTGTTATAAAAACTGCATAAATGATTTCAAAGTTTTAGTATGATAATAGAACAACCTTGCGGATGTTCAATTTTTGGACGTAATTTATCTCCAAATATGAATTTTCTTGATCTCCATTCTAACGATATTATTATCAAGAAGTTCCGGTGATGAAAAAGAACTTTTTTGACATTTTTATGTATATCCTTATTTTTNTGATGAAAAAGAACTTTTTTGACATTTTTATAAAATAAAAATAAAACGTGCCACAATTAAATAATTAAAGATTAAGTTTTTCTCAAATTATTATTTTTAATTGATAAGTAATGTGCACTTTCTGTTTTAGACTCAAATTTTGAGTGTCTAAGCTCATGCCAACGATATAAAACAACATTTCTAAATCAGATTGAGATTGATTGATTTTAGACTGTTCCCTTATTTTTATTGTTCTTCAATAATAAATAAATAATAAAAGGAAGAGTTTCCTAGAGTACTTGTCTGGCTTTGTTTACATAAAAATACTATTTTCTATTTTTGATTTCCAAATCACTACCTACTAATAAAATTTAAAACCACTTTTGTTGTGTAACAAGGCGCGTAAATAGTATTAGATTGTTTCGTTGCTTCTATTTTATCAAAAGGAGTTTCCTAGAATACTTATGTGTGACTTTGTTTATTTGAAAATACTATTTAAATGTAATAAATTACAATGAATCACATAATTTCGAGCATAAATTATTACTTCAAAAATTTTATCTGATTGCTTTATACCTTATACTACAAGGTAATCGAAATCAATTAGATATATTATCAATTACTGTGTTTTTATTATTTAATATGCAATCAGTGATAAGCAAATAATAAGAAAGGCAAATCACGCGCCTATATTAACCGTAAGTTTTGCTACTGGGTAGCTTTGCATTAAAAAGTTTCAGAAAACAGAGTTACCAAGTGGTAATCCCATTTGTCTTTTATGTTCAACTTTTAAAAATATTTTGTACAATAAATAAAAAGCTCTAAAGACTAAACAGTAGTACGTAAGACGAATGAAACAAAGCTTTTATTAAAAAAAAATTTATTAAGAAGATTTTCTAACTGACTTAAATCAGTCTGGGTTTAAAAACTGGCGGACAGTTCCTGTGCGATTCTCTAATTTTGGAACGAGTGTCTTTAACTGACTATATTCTCCTGATGCTAATACTTTTTAGGTATATAATGAATTTGATGTGAAAATTTTAGTTACTTATGCCAGTCTTAGGAGTAAAAAGAGTGATAGTAACTAGCAGGTAGATATAATTATTCGGAGATTTTTGAGGTATGTATACCTACATGTAAAAATTGTCTTTTTATTAAGCAGTGAAGACATAAAAATTATTTAATGTTACATAAGTTTGTTAGAGCGAATATAAGGATAGGAGACGAAAAATTAAAAGAAGTGGCTGATTTTAGGTATCTAGGAAGTCAGATAAGTCAGGATGGAAGGAGGAGTAGGGATATAAAGCAGAGGATAGCGCAGGGTCGTGTTTCTTTTATGCTCTCTAACGGTTAATTTAGATATTCGAAGAAGGTTATTAAAGGTGTATGTTTGGAGAACGGCGCTATGCGGGTGCGAAACATATGGGCAGTCGGCGTGGCGGAAAAGAAAAGGTTAGAAGCGTTCGAAATGTGGTGTTATAGGCGAATGATGAAGATATCGTGGGTAGAGAAGGTTAGAAATGAAGTGGTATTAGAAAGAATAGGAGAACAGAGGATTCTATGGAAGTTAATAGGAAATAGGCGAGATAGGTTAGTAGGACACCTTCGCATGAAGGTCTAGTCAGAGACATATTAGAGGTAGAAACGGAAATTAGGAGGGGTAGAGGTAGATCTAGATTAGATTACTGTTCATAAATAGTTAAGGATGTGGGCTGTTCTAGTTTTAGGGAAATGCGAAGATTAGATCAGGATAGGAAAGAGTGGAGGTACGTGTCCAATCAGTCTTAGGACTGACGACCTTATGATGATGATGAAGTTTGTTTCATCGATGTTTATACGTTCATAGAGTTTATTAGTTTGTGAGTGTCTTAATATGTCTTATTCGTGGATATTTTAAGCAAAAACGATTTCCGATTTCTGAAATTTAAATTGATTTAATGATATGAACCTAACTCAATGTCGATCGGTTTGGCTATTTATTATTTTTTATTTATTTACATTTACGAATTAGAATAGTACACGAAGAAAACTAGATTTTTATGACAACGCAAGAATTACAATTTTCGATTGTAAATGGTTGAATTTGCAGTAGAATTTATTAGGTAACTTGTAATAACCTCAATTTTGACATGTTTTTTTTTATCATTTCAAGTTTTTTAATTATTACAATTTAATTTGTAATATCAACTAAAATACCTAATGCTGGGATTTTATTTTTACAAATTCAGGTCTAAATTGTAATTATTATTATTTTCGCTTACGAAACAACGAGATAGTGGGACGAATTGTAAATATCGCTTTATTATTTAACTAAATTTTCCGTTTTCATTTTCTCTGTGTTGATATAGATTCAGCTACACTTCGTTTTTTACACATAAACTTAAAAATGCTAACACTGTAACATTGCAAAGTTATTAACAATTTCTAGACAAAAAATTAGTAAACCACAAGAAAAAAGATAATGCGAAACTAGTAAAAAACCCTGAAGTAATATATTACATGGGTTTACATTTCCTCAAATATTCTATAAGTGAGTATGTATGTATGTATCAAGAATATTACTTATATATTAAGGTTGTTGTTAAATAAATATCGTAATTTTGTGACAAAATCACCAGAAGTATTTCTGAGCATACTTTTTTG